TATGCAAACCAACAGGTGTTGCAGCCCAACCAGATCCCACCCACCACACACTTGACCATGTAAACCAGTGGGAGCTGCAATCTAGTTGGGGCAACCCACAATAACCCTCATCAGGCCAACCCCTGCCCTGGTTCCCATGCTTGCCAATATGTACAGCAGACTGGTCCAGTCTGTCCCACATCCCATTCAACTCTCATACATGTCAATGGGTATTGAAGCCTATGTCAACCCAACCAGCCCCACAATCCAGCCCACATGCCTGCCGGTGGGTGCCACTCTCTGTCTAGCCATGCCTGCCCCAGTCCTGGTTCTCATGCTCACCAGTCAGAGTGGCAACCCAAGAGGGAGGTGCCCACTCTTTCCCTACTGGGCCTACTCCCATTCCCAGAACCACTCCAGGTGGTTCTGCAGTTAAACTTGACAGATTCTGCCCCCCATGCCGGCATCTGCCAGCTGATGCTGCAGCAACCCAACCAACCCAACCAGCCCACACCCACTCTGGCTTATGCATACACCAGTAGGTACAGTCAACCCAGCCTGGCTTTCCCCTGATCCATTTCACATCAGGCCAACAGGTACTATAACCCTGCCCAGTATGGTCTGCCCCCAATCCCAGCTCTCACGCTCACCAATGGGAGTAGTGGTCCAGCAGGGGAGCCCCATGCAGTCCTCCTACTGTGTTTGTTCCCTACCTCCCGGGTCTCAAGTGCACTGGTTGAGCGCTACAGCCCATTCTGGCATGACCCACCTCACCTTGGCATTTGCCAGTGGGTGGCCCAGCACCACCCCCCAGTTTCAGCTCACACTGGTGGAGTAGCCGCAATTGTTGGACTTTGGGAAGTGAACCAATGTATGAAAGATTTCTCTCTCTCTCTCTCTCTCTCTCTCTCTCTTCTTTTCCAATAAAATAAAAACAAACAATAAAAATTTTAGAGTCATGAAAGACATTGACATTGTTAATCCATCCGTGCAATGGAAACTTTGATACTCACCAAAGAAATGGGATCCATCTCTTTTATGCGTCCACATTCCGAGTTTCTGCCAATACCAAGTTGTCTTGCCACTATAACAATAACGGGCAGACAACGGCCGGAACTGCAGAGCCGAGGCTTCACCACCGGCCCGCTTCTGGAGGAGGACTGGGCTCCATGGGAGGAGGAGTGGGTGCCACAGGAAGGATGAGTCCTTGCATTTTAAGTTCTCCAGAGGACGCTAGACAGGTGCTCTACAGCCAATCTAAGCCTGGTGCCTAACCCTCCCTATGGATTCTACTTTTTCACTGTACAAACAAGGAGATTATCGTGTTTTCCCAAGGGTCTTCCCTGAAGGGATTAAAATCGACATTCTCTATGTAACCCAGATACAAATCTCACCATCATCCCCAGCCATGCCACCTTAAGCAACTCCACCTTTCTGAACTTTTGTTTCCTTTTCTGTCAAATAAAAGTAATAAAAGCTAAGTGAGATTGCATTACAAATTAGGACAGTTCTGTAGCAGCCAATGTCCAATACCTTAATAGAAGCTTAATAGTAACAAGCTGATGAAATTAAGGCGAGGCAGTTCCCCAACTGACCACTAGGTGTCGGCACAGACTTGACTAAGATAATAGCTGACCAAGAGAACAGCTCTATAGTTGGCAACGTGAGGCCAGAAGCCGGCCAGGACCCCTTAGGGTAGTGATGGCAGATGTTGGCCTTCCCAGGGCCGTGGCTCGAGGAGGCGGGGGCTGCAGTCGTCTGATTCTGTCTGCAGTAAGTTCCTGTATCGGAAACATCCCGTGTTCATGCATTGGGGCCCTCAGGGTGGCGCTGGTGGTTTTCCAGGAAGAGGAGGAGCCCATGCGTTGGAGTGCCTGTCGCGCCCTCTCCCGGCATCCAGCAGATGCCTGGGCTCTGATTCCCTGTCAGCTAGCCAGATTCCAGTACTCAGTGAGAGCAGCAGGAAGCGACTGAGCCAGGACCGCCTGGCAATCCCGCCCTTGCCTGGTCAACCTTCCCACCTGTGACCACAGGCTAAGTCTTTCCCAGGACATGCAGTCAACGTAGGATTGGGCATATAAACTCTGGCATTCTGGTTCAGCCTGCGCTGCCTCGGAGCTTCTTTGACGTTTGGGTCACCTTCGTCATAACCTTCCTGGCTGCCATTTGGAATCACGTAGCTTCTTGGTTGTTTTAATGCTTATTCCATCACGGGTTCATTTTCCTGACTCTAAGCCTCTGTAAGGAAGTCACGGGGATGTTCCAACAGGGGACTCATTACACAGAGGGCTAAAACATAGAGACGGTGGTGTCTTCATTTCACAAAACATTGTTCTGTCCCTGACGTCACTGTTTCTGGAGTCTGTACCATGTCGTCCCAGATTGGAGGACCTGGGGACGGGCTAAGGCAGAGGACGAATGAGAGAAGTCAGAGCCTGGCCTGGCCACTCATGCACTCATTCCACAATCACTACCTGCTCCCCTCCCTCACGGAGCTCACGGGCAGGTGGGGGTTCGCAGACACAGGAAGTGAGGTGGATGGCCTCGCAATATCCAATGTTTCTCCAGACTGCAGATAATGGCTCTCCTCCCCTCCCCATTCCCTTTTCATTCCCTCCGCTCCTCTACCTCCTCCTCTTACTCTTGTTATCGATGGTCTGCTCCAGCCACCATGTCTGGCACATTCCAGGCCCCAGCTCCCAGGCTCCAGCCTGGCCGAGCTCTGACTGTAGCAGCCATCTGGGGAATGAACCAGCAGATGAAAGATTCCAGTCTCTCAAATAAAAATAAACATTTTTTAAAAGTTTGCATTGTAAATGTTGTGAGATAGTTATTATCCTGTGCTGTTTAGGGGAAATTTTTAAAAATGTGTTTCATAGATAAATTAAAAAAAAAGATTTAGTGGGGTTGGCACAATGGTGTAGCAGGCTATTTCTCTACCAGTGATGTTGGCACCCCAAATGGGCACTGGTTCACATCTTAGTAGCTCCACTTCTGGTCCAGCTCCCTGAAAATGGCCTGGGAAAGCAGCGGAGGATGGCACAAGGCCTTGGGCACCTGCACCCATGAGGAAGACTTGGAAGAAACTCCTGTCTCCCAGCTTCAGACTTGCCCAGTTCTGGTCGTAGCAGTCATTTGGGGTGTGAACTAGTGGACGGAACATCACTGTATCTGCATCTCTCTGTAATTCTTTCAAGTAAAATAAACGAGTCATAATATACATGTACATGCATATATACATATACATGTACATGATTTGCATGTGTATATATACTCCATATACGTGTTTGTATATATATATATGACTTAATTTTTCTAAGGTAGAATTAGAGAGAAGCAGAGGAGATCCTCCATCTGCTGGTTTATTCCCTAAATGGCCACAATGACCAGGGCTGGGCCAGACAGAAACCAGGAGCCAGGAATTGTATCTGGGCCATCTACGGGGTGGGCGGAGCCTAAGCACTTTTGCATCCTCTTCTCCTGCTTTCCCAGGAGCCTAGAGCAGAAGTGAAGCAGCCAGGAGTCAAAACAGATGCACATTTGCGATGTCAGCATTACAGGCGGTGGTTTAATGTGCTAAGTCACAATCCTGACCCCTCACCGACAACGATATTTAAAGAATAGTTTTGATTCACAGTTGAGTTCATGAAGGACCTGCAGATGTGGAGGCCAACCATAACCCACTGGAAGAGCCTGCTCCAGCTTCCCTGTTGGTAGACATCGGACTGCATCCAGTACAGTGTCTTACCTGCTATGGACATTATCACACAGTCCTGATATTGACACAGGCACCTTGCCCTTGGGTAAACGCCTACGAGTGGAAATGCCAAGTCGCAGTTGGGTGTGTGTGACTGAGACAGACACCTCAGGTTTCCTCAGGGGTGGCACCAAGAGCCCTGCCACCAGCACCACACGAGAACTTCAGAGGCCATACATCCAGACAATACTGGCCCCTCTGCTCCGCCTCAAGAGCCCTCTTTCCTCCAGTCCTATGGGCAGAGGAACCATGTAAGGGAGTGAGCCCAGGTCTTAAGCAGCCAACACACTCCACTCATCTGCCACCAAACGCAGGCTACTTGTTTTATAAGCCAATTAATTCTTCTTTCTTGTTCAAACTCTCTTCCTTCCCAAACCCAGTGGTGCCATTCCTTTTTTACTCAGAAAGTTATTTATTTTGAAAGTCAGAGTTACACAGAGGGAGAGAGAGACAGAGAGGATGATCTTCCATCTGTTGGTTCACTCCCCAGACGGTCTCAATTTAGTGGCCAGAAGTCAGAGGCCAGGAGTCAGGAGCTTGCTCTGGGCCTTCCACACGGGTGCAGGATCCTAATGCTTTGGTCACCCTGTCCCGGCCCCAGCTCCCATCACACACTGCCTGGTCACCCTGTCCCGGCCTCAGCTCCCATCTGGATGTCCTGGTGCTTGGGGACGGCTAACTTCACCCCCTGGAAGCCAGACATGTGACCCCACCACCACGTGGACTCTGCTCCTTTCTCACATCCGATCCCAGGACAAATCGGATTTTAATGTCTAGAACATTTGCTGCCCACCTCTCCCCGCCCCCGAAATGCCACCTAACCCAGAAGATGCTCCCTTCACCCTACATTCGTTCCTCACAACCATCTTTGGGTTTCCTCACAGCACTCACTTTCCACAGTCATGGAATTATGACACAGGCCCTTTATGTGGGGTGACAGGGCCACGGAGGGTACGGACTTTGAGCCACGAGGCACGAGGGCCCTGCGAGCCACGACTACACGACGCCGCCCTGCTCTCACACAATCGGGATCACAATCTGCTGCCGCGGCGTGAGGGGACCACGAAGGGGGCAGGACCGGGTTCGGAGTTGTCCAGGATGCGCCTGATTAAAAGCTCCTCGCGCTTGAAGCCCTCAGGTCAGCCACAATTTCTACAAGGTACTCAGAGAGCCTTCCGCCCGTCTCCAAGGGAAGATGTTGGGAGACATCGGGCGAGGGTGACCCTCCCATGTAGCGCCGTGGCGTCGGGCATCGGCTGTGGGCAGCCCGGGCCCAGGCGGGGTCCTCCGCCGGCTCGCCGAGAAGACCGAGGGGGCGTCTCCCCGGCTTCCTGCGGCGTCGGCGGCGAGCTGAGGTGGAGGCCGGCTGCGGCAGCGAGCGACACGCTGGCGGCGGCGCCATGGCAGGGCTCGCAGGTACCGTGGCGGCAGCCTCCCGGGGCGGGCGGAGAGGCCTTCAGGGCGGCCGCGCCGCCATGTTGTCCTCTCGGGGTCACCTTAGGCGTCGCTAGATCCTAGCCTGGGGTTTTCCTTCCGCGTTCCCGGGGGACGAAGGCGCCCCTGCCCAGTGGTCCGGTGCTGACCTTTCCAGGGCCCCGAGAGGAGGGTCTCCTTGGGCTCTCGCTCCAATCTCCCAAGGTCAGCTGCGCCCTCCCGGGGTGGGGGCGGGGCTGGGCGCGCGACCATCCCCCTCCCCCCTTTGGCCATGGACCGGGCCCCAGCTTGTGAGAGCCTTCCCCCCCCCCCGCCCACTTATCAGAAGGGGCCTAAGTGGAGAAGGAAGGGGTCCCTGGTCCCCGCGGGCCCCCCGCTTTGGCGTCTGGAGTGCTAGCCTTCCGTTGGGCTTCGTGGCGGGCGCTCCTCCCTGTCCCGGCTCGGTGCGGGGAGTGGCTCCGGGGTGGGCAGTTGTAGGAGCGGAATGCTTGGCACCCGTCGTGGCCAGCGAAGGAAGAAAGGGGGGTGGGGATGGAGGGAGGGTAGCATTTGATCCCCCCTCTTCCCCGCTCCTCTTCCAGGCCGCCTGGGGTGGCGGGGAGGAAGGGGGGTGGTGTCCGCTCTCGCTTTTGCCCCCTAATGTTGTGGGACTGGGTGGGGTCTGGCCTAGGAAAGAAACAGCCTTTCTGTTTATAGGTTCGGATCGTCTTTTATCCCTTCCAGGGCACTGGTGTGTTGGGAACGGCTTCTCGGCCCTGCCTGACACGGTCCAGCCATCCGGTGGTCAGCCTTCTGCACGGCAGCACCAAAGCCTGGACCCCTCCCCTGCCCTCTGCCCTCCCTCCTTCCCGAGCCCCCTCCCCACCTTTCCCAAACAAGTGCAGCTTAAATGCTGATGCCTTTGGTTAGCCCTGCTGTGTGTGTGTCTTCTATGGGAGGCTACCGAGTGTCAAGCCAGTCTCTGAAACGCTTTGAGTCCCTGGAAACCCAGCCGGCTTCCAGATCGAACGCCGATCTTGGAGTTAACTGCCAAAAACCAATCGCACCTTCATGTCTGTAATATGTTCCATCGAGGAATCTGGGCCTAGGCCATCTGTTTGTGTTGTTATCTCGGGAACACACGCATTCCATTTTAAGCCTGTCACTGTGGGATAGACCAAGGACCTTGTGTCACCTGCCTCCTGACTTCCTGCTCCAGGAATGCTCAGGAATCCGCATCCTGTTGGGGTTGGAGCCCCGTGGGAGGGGAAGGAGGGAGGAGCAAGGGAGTCCTCCCCAAGGAGAGGGTGACAGCAGGCCTCTGGGGCGTGCACAGGAAGTCAGAGGTCGCCTGGGAACAGGCTGATTAGATGGGGGGTGTACCCACACACGTCTCCCCCGGGGAAGCCCATTGCAGCTTCAGATTCTCTTGGTTCCTCAGTAGATGCAAGCTTGGAAATGAGTGTCTAGTCTGACTCAGGCCTGCTGCCAGCAGCGCACAGCTGAAGCTCAAGCCATGTGCATCTGGCCTTCCCCACTTCCCCCCAAAAAAGCTACCCTTCCTTCTGTCCCAGAGCAGCTCCTTCACAGATTGAGGACCCCTACCTGCACCCTTCCCAGTCTTCACTTCAGCAGCTTAGGTTAAAGAAGGAGCAGTCGCCTTGGGCTGGCGTCCCGCCAGGTCGCCCTCATCCCCTTGTGGCTCATCTCTTCTATGCTTGGCTTTGCGGAGGCCAAGGCTTGTGGCTGTAGTGATTAGAAAAAAGAGAAGTTGAACACTGCGGGCTAAAGGCTTTGCAGTAGGTCACAAGCCACTGGCAACTCCTCCCCATGCTTTCTGTCAGAATAAAAATGTTTTCCTGGTGTAGCTTGTAAAGACGTTTTATAACTGAAGGAAGGGAGGTGCACACACTCCCCTCTGGGGGTGAAAGTGGGGGGTCTGACATGACACATTCATGCCCAGGAGTCTGTCCCATCACAGCCACATGCAGAGCCCTGCTGCAGAGGGGGTGGGGGCAGCTCCCTGTCCTCTGAGCTGGGTGGGGTGGTGGGCACACCCTTGGGAGGCTCTGCATTCACAGGATGAAGTGTGTTTGGGGTTCTCTGAGTTTAGTGTGGAAATGCACAGAAACTCTGTCTTGGGGCCCGCCCGGTGACCCCTGAGGCAGGAGGAGAGCTGCCTCAACTGGAGGCTGAAGCTGCAGCCTAGCCTGTGGAAGACGAAGGCTCAGACCGTGCCCCGCAGCTCGTGAGCCCTTGGACGGCAGGGAGAGGGGCAGGCGGCGCCCTGGGCTGAGGGCTGCAGCACGTCCATCATCTGCAGTGCTGAGTGAAGGTGCAGGTGCCCTCAGGGGCTGGACGTTGGACTCCGAGACTTGGGAGCTCAGGGAAGGGAGGGGTGAGCAGGCTCACAGGGGTGAGGCACCTTGTACTCGACTAAGGGATTTGAGGAAGTGACAGATATACAGCCTCTAACTCCCTGCCTTGGTGTTGACCCAGGAACAGGTGACAGTGACAGGAACAGACATGGAGAGCCAGAGATGGGCCGGAACAGGTGCTAGGGCCGTTTGGTGAGGCGGTCAGCTGACCTCACGTATAAGGACCCTGGCCCACTGAGGAGCACAGGATGGGTGAGAAGTTTGGAGCACAGCAGGCCAGGCCAGCCTGACATAATGGGCAGGGAGGGGCCTGAGACCATGTTGAAAAAGCAGGTAGCCCAGCAGTAGGAAGGGCGAATGGGGCGGGATGAAGGCAGCCTTAGAGAGCAGCCAGGCCATGCAGGGGGCGGGCACAGTGGTTTGATGGAGGTAGGTCTGGGCCTGACCTTCCAAACTCATGGTCCAAGCCAGTCCCCCCTCCCCTGCCCAGGTGTCCCTCGATGGACCCAAGCCATGTGCCCTGAAGCTATCCCCTAGCCTGTGCACCCCAGTCAGGGTTACTGCCACCTTGTTCCCCTCGCATCGTTACCGAAGTGATGGCCTGCCTGACCCTTGTCCCAGGCCCACAGAGGCACCCCTTATTCTGGGGACCACAGTGAAAGGGGTCTTTTGGGGAGGGGGACACAGTCCTTTATGTCAGGACATTTGAGGTGGGGCTGGGTATGTGAGGGCCCCAGTTTATTCCCGTTTTGTTGCCCCCCCTCCACCAGGCATTACCCCCCTCCACAGTAGCCACATCAGCCCCACCCTAGAAGTGTGGCGGTGCCGCAGAAGAAGCAATAAGAGACAAGTGTTTGGTGTGCCTCCGCCGCCCCGCAGGGTCCGAGGACACAGTGCGCGGCGGGGGAAGTACTGTTTTTTATTTTTGGTAGAGGCGGTCCCTGTCCTCCAGGAGCTTACAATCTAGCTGGGGAGACACAACTAACGCACACAGATACAATTAGCGACTACCACAATATTAAGCACAATAGCGTGAGACCGGGGAAAAGCAAGGTCAGTGAGGGGCGGGGCTCGGAGAAGGTGTTTTTGTGAGGCGGGGGTCATTTGCTGGTTGAATAGGTCCAAATTGAGTGACACATTTTGAGGGGATGGGCACCTGAGGCAGTGGGGGAAAGGAATGGAGAGTGAAAGGCGGCAAAGGCTGGAATGCATGTGCCATAGGCCAGGGACAGCACGCGAAGACCCGCGGGGTGCAGCCTCCTCCCTCCCGCCCCGCTCGGCGGGCACACAGTTGGGTGACTTCTCCGCTGCACTGGGGCTTCAGCTGCTGACGGCCGGAGGTCCATGCTGCTGGCTGGTGTGGTGTGTGGATCTCCGGGTGGGGCCTGCTGGCGTGGCCCTGGCTGGTGTGGCGCTGTCCCGACTTGGTCCCGATCAGAATGTGGTGCCTACGCGCAGATCTCAAAGGCCTGCTCCCTCCATCCTTCCTCCCCCTGCCCCCGCCCCGCAGTGGGACCGGTGCAAAGGGGAAAGGGGCCTGGTAACGTCATCATGGGCTTTGCTGCTTCTCCGGAGGACCTACTGGCCCCTCACTGACCTTGGCAAGTGCTCCTCTGACGAGGGAGCACAGGGGACCCCCCATTCCTGCGCGGCACTGGCTCCTGTGCTGGCCCAGATGGACAGGAGCACCTGATGACGCGGCCGCCCAGGGCTGGGAGCTGGGGCCTCAATTGGGGGCTCTCTGCCTGCGCTGCCCCAGCACCTGCCGCCCGGTTCGCGACACGGTGTACGCCAGCTTCTGCAGGGAGTACCTGAGCACCTGCGGGGAGAGACCCAGGACCCGCCCTGAGTGGAGAGCAGCCGCAGCCCATAGGCCGAGCTGCGGACCCCGCCCCGCCCCCGGCCCCGCCCGCCCGTCCAGCCGAGCCGGAGGGGCGGGCGGGCGCAGCTTGTCCACGAGTCAGGGCAGCTGGAGCTTGTCCAACTGTGCTGAGAGCTGCATGGCGGCAAGCTGACTGGACCCACAACTTAGGTATACCTCACTTCTCGCAATGGGCTGTGTCCCTGGAGGATTTCGAAAAGCGAATCCTACCCAGTAAATGCAGCATTCCAGGAACACCTTGAAGGAAATATGCGATTCCTTTGGCAAAGGATCCCTTTAGCAGGGAATTCCTCCTGCAAAGGGAGTCTCTAGGGCAAATGACTCTATGTGCAAAGCACCTTCCTCCAATTTCTTGTTACACAGAGTAGTCTGGCCTCTGTGTGATGTTGTCTTTATAAAGCAATTTGTCTGGTTTTGGAAGCTTTCTCTCTCCCCCTCCCCCCCCCTTTTTTTTCCTGCAAAGGGCTTTTTTCCTGTTTTCTTCAAAGCATTTTTGTCTGATTCATTTTCTCTGCTAGCTCCTTTGTCTAATTTCTTCTGCAATGCGCTTTTTATCGAATGCATTTGTTTTGTGGCACGTGCTTTATCTGACTTATTTTTCCTGCCATGTGCCTTTTCCCCCCTGTGGATTACTTTTCCTCTCATATGCTGTGTGTGTGTGGGGGGGTTGCAAAGTGATTTTCTGAAAAGTGCCTTTTCCCAACTTGTATTACGTCCCACTGTGAGCGCTATATAAACATATGTATGTGTACACACACATATTTTTCTAAAAGATCTCCCTGCAATGCGCAGTTTTTAAGATAAAATCTTTATGAGAGCTGTGAAGTCTTGAAGTGCTCCCACCTCCCTCCTGGGTCGAGCCTGGATGTAGCGGGTTTTTCTTACCACGTAGGTGGCTATTAGCCTCGGCGATCATCCGCGCCCCGAGTCTTTGTTCCCGGCCAGGCGCGGGCGCGCTAGGGAGGGTCTGCGCGAGGAGGAGGGTTCGGGGGACGGGCGGGGGCCGCGCAGTGCCGCCGGCGGCATTCGGGCAGGGATCGCGGCAATAGGGATAGGACGGGTCGGGAAGGCGGCAATCGGGACACGGGTTTGCGGGTTTAGGGTGTGCGCAGTAGGAGCACTCTCCCACCGGGTCCCCCGGCACACTTACCTGCAGCAGTACGCGAAAGATGTACCAGCCGATGATGAGCAATTCAGCCGAGGCTGCCGCCACTGCCGCCATGATTCCGAGAGTTGAGGGTGCGCGGTTGCAAGCGAGGGTTTGCCGAGGTCCGCTGGTCCCTCTGAGTCCGCTGTTGGGCGCACTGCCGCAGTCGCGGTGGCCGTGCCTTAAGTACCCGCCCGCCACCTAACTGCGCATGCGCGCCCGCGGGGGGGGGATCCGTGAGGAGGAGTGGCAGGGGCCGCTCATTCGTCAGGAGAGGAAAAAAAAAATGATCCATCTCCTCTTTCCACATCGACCCCCGCCTCTTGAATTCCATTTTAGCCCCCTTCCAGAAGATTCTGCCTTGCCCACTTATGCATTTTGATATAAAATGGAAGGGGCCACAACTCTGGGTACGAGAGCCGCACCTCTGGCAAAGTTAGGGACGGGTTCTCTGCCCCGGAGCCTTGGTACCTTGGGAACGCGCTCAACCCGCTTTTGCTAATAGGCCGTGAGTTTGAAGCCAGTGTCCTCTGCTGTCCCCTCCCAGGGGTTCCTGAATGTTTAACCCTCCCCTGATTGTTCGTAAACGGGGGGGTCCTTGGTAGCTACCAGAGGAAATCGAGCGAGAGCATATCCCTCTGGGGGTCTGCTGTGCGCCAGGGATGGATAGGGAAGGTTGGGCGCCCTTTCTGTCCTGTGGGGATGAGATCTACCGGGACGTGGTCTGACTGCTCGGGAGACTTTGCCGCTGGCCAGGTCGCTTTCACCACCTCCTTTCCTGCCCGCCCAGACCCTGACAGGTTTGCGTCCGCCTGCGCGGTTCTTCGTAGCAGTGGCGTTTGGTGGCTAGAGCTCGGAGCGGGAGTTTCACCGCTACCGCCAGAGGAAGGGTGCTGTTTCAGCCCGGTTTCCAGGAGGCGGGCGACCCGCAGAGCAGTAGGGCGGAGAGTCATTCCTGAGCGTGGGTTTTTCTGACGGGAAGCAGGACCGCGCGTGCAGAGTACATCGCTCCAACAAGTTGCTCAGCACAGGAGCTAACTGGCATTTGCCCCTGTGTGGCTAGGAAATTAATTTTGATTAAAAGCTCAAAGAGGTCAGGCTCTGTTGAGGGCCAGCAGTAGATAGAGGTGTAGTGATCTTCTAGTTCAGTTTTGACAAGTAGTATAGTGATTTTTTTTTCTCTGTTGACTTTTGAAGAAGTTCACTAATCTTGGCAAAAAGGTACTGGGCTGATTGAAAAGGCAGACTTGGCCCAGGTTGTGGAGTAGCAGAGCTGTGGCAGGTGCATTCATTGCCCACTGGCTCCAGCAGACAGGGTGGCACCTCCACACTCCTGAGAGAGATGGGCACTGCAGAGCCCTGTGGTCCCCCATGAGGGCACAGCTTGGATCCCGTGGAGTCCCGTGGCACCCACAGGGCGGTACTGAGAGGTCTGGGACCTCCAGGACAGGCCACAGCCCCAGGAGGTGACACATGATCTCTGCTGGCCAGGCCCGGGCAAAGCCAGTACCCTGTGCAGACCATGCCAAAGCACCCTCTCGCGAGTACCCAGCAGAAGCCCAGGGTGGGCACCCCATGGGGCTCCGTGAACTGGTAACTCGGAGAGGAGTTGAATCCCGACGGGTGGGCAGGGAGGAAGGGGCACTCACGTTTGCTGTTGTTAACCATGATCCATTTCCCCAAATAAGTATACATTCTGTTCCTGTTTGTTTTGTTTTTTGTCTGTCTGTCCTTTGTGTGTCTGTCTGTTGTGTTGACTTTTCTCTTCAGGATCCCTGCTGCCTTGGTGATCCCGGGCTGACAGCCAGAAAGCAGAGCGGCTCAGCTCCCGGAGAGTGAGGGTGGAAGAGCGCGGAGGGCAGCTGTGTGCGCCGGCTCCCGTTAGGGCGGCTCCTGCAGCAGTGCCCGGCGGCCTTGGCGAGGCCCCGCTCAGCAGAGATCATGTATTGCCTCCAGTGGCTGCTGCCTGTCCTCCTCATCCCCAAGCCCCTCAACCCCGCCCTGTGGTTCAGCCACTCCATGTTCATGGGCTTCTACCTGCTCAGCTTCCTCCTGGAGCGGAAGCCTTGCACGATCTGTGCCCTGGTCTTCTTGGCAGCCCTCTTCCTCATCTGCTATAGCTGCTGGGGCAACTGTTTCCTGTACCACTGCTCCGACTCCCCGCTGCCGGCGTCTGCGCACGACCCTGGTGTGCTGGGCACCTAACAGCCCTGTCAGCTGAGCAGGCATGCAGAAGACGGGAGGGGAGGCGCTGACCTAGGTCCTAAAACATTGGAGTTTCGAATCCCGCAGCCCCGCGGGTGCCACATTCCCAACGGCGCCTTTTTGGCCTGTGATGTTATCCTTATAATGTGAATAACAGCACTGACCGGTGCTTCTGTCGTAGAGTCCTCTAGTCCGGGGTGGGCTTGTGTTTGTGTGTGTGTTCCGTTCCCACCTTGGCCCCAGCTGGCAGGATGGTCACTGACGAGTCTGTGCCCATCCTGTCAGCTGCCCCAGCATGACCTTGGGCAGATAAAAATGCCAGTCTCCCCATCACCTCCTGTGACACCCCCAGACCTACCCTGGCCCAACTCCGCCTTGTCAGTCTCCTTCCTTCCCAAGAGTGTAGTTCCGTTCCTGGTTCCCCTTAGTTATCTTTGCCCCTTTCCTTGTTGGGGGAGCACCTGTCCATGACAGAGCTCATTTTTGCACTTATCTCGAGTCTGAAGAGATTGCTGATGCCCGAGAGCCTCGCTTTTCCATCCTCCTTTCCCTACTTGGCAGGCTAAACAGCCCTGTCTCAACCATGCCCACGTGTCTGCAGGATTTTACCCACTCCCTTTTCAAGAAAGAAGCAACCAAGGGATGTTGCCCTCTCCCCTGGAGTTTGGGCTCCTGCTTTTTCACCCAGCCCCCATTCACCTTTGCCCTGTGTCCTGCCTTCCTCCACCATCCCCAGGAGGGGGGCCTCATCCCAGGCCCCATGCATGCCCTGCGGGATTGAGATGTGGTGTGTTCGTGTAGCGCTAGTGGTCCCAGGCCGAGTGAGTGGGAGAACACGTGTGTTCATGGCAGCCACAACCCCCTCGCTAGGAGTTTGGCTATTTCCTGGCATGCCATGAGTGTGTCTGTGTGTATATGCGTACAGGTGCACGGGGATCTTACTCCTTTTACAGAAGCTTTATGGGACGTGTTCTGATGTTGAGGTGTAGCCGTAGCTAGCTGTTGTAGGTGCCGCTGCAGTGTTTATTGAGCATGCGGATTGCAGAGTGACCGGCACACTGGACTCCGAAGTGTCAGACGAGACGCAGGGAAACAGCGACCAGCATCTTCCCACCAGGAGCCTTCTCGTTCCTGCGCAAGCTGACTGCACACTCTGAAGAATACACAGGAAGACTGTGACTGTGACCTGCTGTTTTCTTTTTCTGCACTTCAGTACCAAGTGGCAGCCAACGGGACTCTTCTCCAGGCCTCTGCCCACTGGGGGCCTGTAGTGTGGTTGTTTTTCTGCAGGGAACTGTCCATCTCTCTTTGTCCGAGGAGGCAGAGAGGAAGGGAGGCAGGGAGGTGGGTCAGAGAGTAGACAGAACTGGAGGCTGTCCATCTAGGCAGCGGGACTGCGAAGCCACACTTGTGAAACATTTGGACTGCTGTTCTGGAGCTTTCATTTCTGATGTGTTTGTTGCACAGCTGTTTGAAATGTTTAATAAAGCTTTATAAACTTTACTTTTTGGTTGTATGTGGCTATAGTCCATTTGGGTGATGGTGTTGGGTTTCTGATTTGGTGGGAGGCAGAGGGAAGCATGGGGGGACTGAGTCGTTGGTGCCAGAGTACCCTAGCCCAAAAATTTGAACTGTTCTCTGGAGAGCAGATGGTGGGGCTAGGAGAGGGTTGGGGGCAGGGCCAGGCTGGGCCATGAAGAGCGGGGTGCCTGGAGTTTCCAGGGATGAGATGTTGGTATTTCTCAGCTTCCATGGCCTCCCACTAAGAATTGTTTCCCTCCATAGGAGAGTGGAGTAACTGACCCTTTGACAAACAGTTTAAGACAGCTGGAGTTCTAATCATCAAGAAATTTTTTTTTTTTTTATGGTGCTGCTTTTGAAAAAAAAAAAAATAAGGTGAAACCCCTTATGGCATTTCAAGGGGAAAACAAATAAGCTGGCTGCCTGGCCAGCAGACCTGAGCTGAGGGTTAGGAGAGTAAGAGGGTGCGGCCGCCTGTGGTGGCTCTGCTCCACAGGACCTTGGAAGGGCTGGTCAGGGCATGGAGCGGGGCAGCCGCCTCTGCCCTCTCTGCCTTCCTCCCAGGAGGCACACCAGGAACACTGCCTGACCACAGGGTGGGGGCCATGGCAAGGCTCTCCAGAGAAGACTCTGGCCTCTGGCCAGTTCCCAGGCCACTGGCTTTCTCGGCTGTTCATTTATTGCCATGAAGTTGAGTGTATTTGTCCTCACCCTTACATCCCCCCCATTGTCACTTGAGCCCCCTCCCCTTGGTATTTTCATGCCCAGTCTTACTCAGCAGTGCCCTCTTCTTGATCACAACTTGCCAAAGGCTTGTCCACATAAGAGGTATTTGCACCAAAGCAGATGATTATTGATTCTATCTGCCACGTGTTTTTCCTATCTGATTCTTCTGTGCTCTGATCTCTGAATTCTTTTGAGTTTCCGCATACCTTGGGGGTTACACAGTCTCCTAACTGGGGAGCCATGGACATGGATGGACAGCATGGTTTGTCACACAATACCCCTTCTGCACTGGGCCCATGGGGACCTCAGGGCCAAGACCCAAACCTGACTCTCCCTGATCCTAGCCTGTGGGAAGACTTAACTAAATAGATAATTGTAAATTCCACAAGATGCAGTAAATAAGCCAAGATGACTTTTGTGTTGCTCCTCTCCCGTGCAGGCACCCGGATGATTAATGAAACCAAGAATGTTGTGCATTTGGCTCTCCCTGAGAAAGTAGCTTTCTGTTTGAGATCAGGCCTCCCTCAGGAAGGTATGCAGCCCTTCCCAGCCCAGAGAGCCCACAGCCCACTCCCTCCCCAGGTGACTGCCAAAGCAGCATGCCCACCTGCACCCCCTCCTACTCCGGCTGCTAAAATGCTGCTCAGGCAGAGGGCCTGTTTTGTTTTGTTTTATGAAAGATGAAAAGTAGACATCTCTCGTGCAAAAGACTGGAAACACCGCAGTTTCCTCACAGCTACAGCGAGCTTTGGAGCAAGCACAGTTTCCCAGCCCTAACCTCCTGGGAGGTCTTTCTCCCTGCACCTGAGCCACCTCCCAGACCTAGAGAAGGTAGCCGTATGCTGTCAGGTCTGGCTGTCCTCTCCCTGAAGATGCACTTGCCTTGAGCCTTGGCTTGAGTGCTACTCATGGTACCTGGCAGACAACTGCCTCCTCTGGAGACTGAGTTCTTGAGGACCACTGCCCATGCCTCATGGGTTCCAAGCCATCATCTGCTCCCTTTCGGAGGAAGTCAGAATTCCAAGCAGAACAAGACCTCGGCATTCACCAGGTGGTGGACAAAGTGGCTGGTTCCTGCCATCAGGAAGTTCTCCACACTGATGGGAAAGGGGAGGACCTTGAGGACCGTAGCAGGTGCTGGCAGTCTCAGAATATCTGGTACAGGCCTTGGAGGACCATCGTTCAGGCTGGAGGACAAGTGTAAATGTTGAAACAGCGAAGTTATAAATGAGATGTTAGTTCTTACCATCTAATCGGGCATCTCTCTGCTTCCAGATATGAGGCTGGCTTGACAACTAAGATGAAGCACTATTCACATGTGGCTACCCTGGAATCAGAGACTGAAAAAGGCATTTTGAGATAAAGAGATCAGTCTGCTTAAAGCTGGAGAACTAACTATTGGGAGATAGTAAAGGCCCAGGGTGGAAGTGCTGGTGGCAAGTCCAAAAATACTCAGTACTGAAAACTCCAACATCCAGCTAGCCAGGAAACATCACAGTCAAGGATCTGGTGGGATTAGGGCATGATCAATGAGACCAGCATGTGGGGTGGAGTTTTTTGAGCAGTGAGGGCAGCAGAGATGGTAAGAAGGCCCCTGCCCCATCCAGATCCCTAGGAGTGTGGAGCAGTGGATCTAAGGACTGGGTAAGCAGGTGGCCGTGAAGGTGACTGAGAGAAAGCTAGCTGCCACCGAGGAGCTGCGAAAGAGGGCACCAGAGAGGACTGTCCATGTGCCATTGCTTTGGGAAAACCAGAACACAGGTCGCAGGCATCCAACTCCAAAAGGCAGAAGGGACACTGCTCATGCTCACAAAAGGGAGAGGACTGAGTGCTGGAAGATGACCCTACGGAGGAGGGGCCAGCTTGTGTACCCAGCACCTCTCCTCCTGTCCCACCCAGGGCCTGCCTGAAAGCCTGCACAGACAGTGTGCTATGCCAGGCTTAGTGGGGGCAGGAGTTACCTTGGATCTGGGTGGGCAGATTAGTAGGGTAGACTCCAGGGGAAACCCAGAGTTGGTCAAGCAGCAGACAAGTCCCCGAGCTCCCTGTGGCACACTGGGGACAGGGGCTCAGGCCCTGAGTGGGCAGTGGGCATGGAGAACCAAGGCCTTCAGGAGCCGCAGACCTCATGCGGGCCTCTGTGGCTACACCCTATCACTTGTAAAATGGAGACCCCAACACCTGCCACAGCGTTAAGGCCACCTCCACAGTGTTGGCTCTGTTGCACAGCTCCTATCCCCAGCCCTCACAGGCCTTTTGGGGTTGGAATCAGATCCCCTAACTCGTGCTCATTCATTCATTGGGCAAGCCGGTGCCAGGCTTTCTCTGAGAAGCGGTGCCTCACCCTCCTGGAGAAGCTCACATCAGGAGGCGGGGCCCAGGGCTGCCTCTAAGGTAGACAATGCCCACACTCTGTCAGCTGCGTCTGCTGCAACTAGCAGAAGGCATTGCTGGGGAGACTGTAAGTCAGTAACTTGGGGTGAAGTCCTTTAATTATTTTTTAAAATTTTATTTTTATTGGAAAGTCAGATGTGCAAAGAAGAAGAGAGACAGGAAGATCTTTCTTCCTTTGATTCACTCCCCAAGCGGCTACACGGCTGGAGCTGCACCAATCTGAAGCCAGGAGCCAGGAGTCTCTTTTGGGTCTCCCACATGGGTACAGGGTCCCAAGACTTTGGGCTGTCTTCAACTGCTTTCCTAGGCCACAAGCAGGGAGCTGGATGGGAAGTATGACCACCAGGATTAGAACCAGCACCCATATGGGATCCCTGCACGTGCGAGGCGAGGACCTTAGCCTCTAGGCTACCACACTGGACCCAAAGCCTTTTAATTACTTTCTACATCTCTGGAAAGTCAATATACTAAAAAGGGAAGGAACATGGAGATCTAGCTTATTCCTGGAAGTTCAAAGGCCTGGGTTTGAGTCCCCTGCTTGGCCAACAACTCGCCTAGCACCCCACAATTTGCATAGCTCACTACCTGTTCCGAAGTCAAACATTCTGCCAGCCCCCACTGCCCTCAGTGGCAGCCCTCCAGGAAGGGCAGAGAGACAGCAGCCACAGCCCAGCCCAATGGATACCCCTGCCCGTAAGACCTATGGTTGCTCTCTCAGTGGTAAGCAGAGGGACTTTCCTCTGCTCCCCACTGCTGGGGACATGGGAAAACGGGACACGGCGGGAAAACGGGCATGGATGGTCTTGATCAGAGATGTCATCAAGTGGGGCAACCCTGGGAGAAGAATGGGCACCTCTGGCAGGGATCAATGCAGAACCAGGAGAAGATCCAGTTCACACAAAACCAGGCTGGTGCTGACCCACGCATGCCACGGGGTGGTGAAGGGGGCTGGTTCCCAGGAACGGGAGAAGAGACTAAGTGAGCATCTCGATCCCAGCAGCCTCCTGGAGAGAGGAGTGCCCAGAAGGCTGCAGGGGCCCCCCGGAGGAGGCCGGGCAAGCCATGGACCTGGCCTGTGGGGGTCTCAGCCATAGCGAGAGGGGAAGCAGCAGGAGAGAGAGGGGGCTGAAATGATTGCCTTGGGGCCCAAGGACATACCCCCCTCTCCACACCACCCTCAGAGGGGTCACTCTGCAAGCCGAGCTGGAAGCCCAGGAACAGGGGCTGCGCATGTGGGATTAACTGTCACAGTGAAGGGATTAGCTGTGTCGCTGGGAACAGGCAGAACTGAATTATATACGTTTTACCAGGGAACCTGATGCCTGTGTTCCCAGGGAGGTCTCTGTCTGACCCTGATGCTCACCTGGATTTTAATTAGCAGCCGTTCCATCCTGCTTTGGCTGGGGCCGGGTCTGACCTGGGCATGCACCCTCAGGCACCTGGCTCCCCACAGCCAGCAAGGCAGGACCAGGGTCATTGCTTTCTGCTTGAACTCAAATCTTAAAACAGATGGTGAACTTGTTTGTTTATTTATTTTTACCACTAGCACTTTGTGACAACTTCCAGGGAATAAAGAAGGAAATACAAATGCAAGTTGCAACTATCTGGGGCTCAGGAAGTGCGCTGTGCACTCAGCATTGGCACTGTCCCTTGGTGTGTAGACCCTGGGGTCATGGCCATTGTCTCTCGTGGTCATCACAGCCCCACTTCTGCCTTCCAGGGAACCAGAGAGCCAACATTACTATTCCCATTTCACAGAAAAATAAATTGCAACCCAGAGAAGTACATCTATAAGGAGGAAATAGTAAGCAATGAAATAGATAGGTTTAAAAAAAAGAAAAAATTATTTTGGAAAGTCAGCA